CAGTAAATGTAAACTTTTATGCTGCTACAAAGCATTTTAATGATACTTTTTTTTAATGTATTTTGTGCAGGACCTCACTCTATATCTCAGACTTACAGTGATCCTCCTATTTTCAGTCTCCTCAGCACTGGGATTACAGGTGTGCACCACCATGCCCTCACACACCCAGGGTCAGGCCAGTGCAGCATGTGATGCCAGGCATTGAACCTGATTCCCTGCACTTGCCTAAGCAGGCACTTAGTCCACTGAGCTATCTCACTGGCCCTAGGGACACATTTCTGATAAAAAAAAAAAGTCAAGAGAAAAAAAATTTATATATTATATTTAAACATTTATATAGAAAAGATATATAATATACATATGCTTCCCACATCACTGCTAATAAATATTATTTACAAATTTTTGGCATAAGACTAGGATCAGGGGACCCATCCCTTACTTTTCTACTGTAAATTTGTACTTTAGCATTATAGAAACTGGTTATGTGTCTCAGTACCTTTCCATGCAAGATACAGGAAGTGATCTATGTGTTTACCCACTTGGTATGATGAATGGCAAGGATTATGCACATGTGCAAAAGTGGCAAAATGGGATTTGTACCTACTTCACATTCTAACTGGTTTTGTGCATGTTTACGAAAGCATCGCAAAGGGTCCAATAGACCCACACCACTCCAGGATTTGTTTTTAAAAAAAAGTTTTCATTTGATTTTTCTGGTAGAAGTAGCCTAATTCAGGACAATGGTACATGAAAAATCAGACTTGTAAATTTTGGAGGTCAAAGTGAATCATCAGATTACTGAACCATAAATGATGAAGATGATCCATTATGGTAAAACACATGTTTTCATAAAGCTGTATGATGACAACTTTCACATTGGCCATGTGAGCCAAAATGCCTGTGATAGTGAAATGGAGAAAGAATTAACTGATACAGACACTGGAAATGGAGACCACCTTGATTTAGAAGGAGAGGAAAACAGTGATACTAGTACATATTTGACTAGTTAAAATGTTTTAAGATGGCTACACAACCCAATGGAACAACCAATGTTAGAACTAGGCCCAAAAATACACTGGAAGTTTTGACAGGGGCCAATAGACAGAATGCCATTCAAAGTTGGAAACTGCAACAAATAAAACGCTACAAGATGCTGTGAAATACATAAAGACTGAAGTGCAAATAAAATGTTCTGCATACACCAATACCCATATTCAATACATATAATGTATGTATTATGACACCTCACTAGCTGAACTGAAAGTGTGCATAGGTCTATGGTACTGAGCACAGATTTCTCAAGGTGTTCACAGTAATGTAGCTTTACGAAAAAGCAATCAGTCAAAATATGGCATAAAAATTTAAGCCACTGTAGATGCAAAGAATTACTAGGCTTTATGTTTTTTTAAAAAATATATATTTATTTATCTATTTATTTATTTGGTACAGGGTCTTGCTATGCAGTTCAGACTCATAGCGCTCCTTCTGTCTCAGCATCCCCAGCACTGGGATTACAGTGGCGTGGGCTACCACACCCGGTTTCAATTGCCAGAACAGCATGCCCAGGTTCTAGGGCCTACATGACATGCAGTATTAGGGATCAAATCTGGCTCCTTGTGCTTGCCAGACAGAGGCTTAGACCGCCGAGCTATCTCCCTGGCCCCATGGCTTTCAATTTAGACACTTATCCTGGAACTCAGCTGTCAGAGCCTTATGGGCATAGTAATAAACCAAATGATGTTATAAACAGACTTATGGTTCCTATCTCCCAAACTAATCAGATGTGACATTGTACAAGGGAATTGTACAAGTGAACAAAGCAAAAATTTTAAATGTTGCAGTTTCAAACCAGTGAACTGTATATTATCATTTTGATTTTCAGAAAGATATAACATTGGGCTAGTATATGGCAAAGAAAAACAAACTGCTATTGCTGATGCCAACACTACACCATGATAGAAATACTGCTAGGGAAACTTTGACAAAAACAAAAGCCTGAGATGGTCTCAACTTTCATTTACAGCAGAGGAAAAACAAAATGTTTGTGCCCAGGAACTACAGAACAAAACCAAAGGTGGAGTAGACACTGCTGATGAGTAATGCAGCAACTATAATGTCACTTGAACACAAAGCACTGGCCAACGGTTGTGTCTTACTCCATCCTGAACATGTGTGGCATAAACAGTTTGATAATTTATGAAAAAAATAACAAATGCAAAATATCATGAAAAATTTTTCTTAGAGGACTGGAACATCAACTCATAAGAGATCATTTACTGCAGAGGAAAAACAAAATGTTTGTGCCCAGGAACTATACCAAAAAATCATGAAGCACACTGGTGAGCTAACAGGTGAACAGGCAGGCATAGCATCACAACAACAGGAAAACAGAAGATGTCAACTGTGCCCTACACAAAAGTACAGGAAAACAAAACATATGTACTCTCAGTGTAAAAGATACTTGTGTATGAAATATGCAAGTGTCATACATGAAGAATTCCTTGGGTGTGACAAGTTTTTTGAAGTTTTTTTTGTAAAAATATTTAGTACGAGGTCTACAGGGTCTCACTACACAGATCGGACTCATAGTGATCCTTCCTGCTTTCAGCCTCCAAAGCACTGGGATTACAGGCATGCACTCCCATGCCAAGAGTCTCAATCGCCATCTCAGCGCACCCCAGGAGTGAGGCTGACACGGCACGCCAGGGGTTGAACTCTGGTCCTCTGCCTAACCAGGCACTTTAATCTTGTTAAGCTATCTGGCCTGCCCAGGTGTGACAGTTGAAGCTAAGATTATTTCTATTGTAAACTTTTATTTTTGTTTACACTGTAGTTCACATAAGTTTTTATTTCTGGGATTATTAATAACATTAACAAATATTTAATTATCAATAATCATGGATTATCAATACAGTATTACTGTTATATTGCTTATAATATTAACATGTTATTTAAGTCCATATTGATTATATTATTAATGTATTATTGATGAAAATATATTAATTATTGATAATATTAATTATTGATAATAATATTATTGATATTTTTTGGTGTTATCTTTTAGGTTTTGTAAGCAAGTAAACAGCTGATATGAAAATGTTCATGTCTACTGTAAACACTCATTACCTATTTGCTATTTGATACTTTATTGGTATCTTACTTCCTTGCTGAGCGCATTTTTTGTAATATAGCAGGAAGGTCCTGACAAAACAGGAAGAGAGGTGACAAGACTGTCACACAGGAAAGAAAAGCTAAGCACATGTGCTGTCAATGTAAGTGAGATATGTGCATGGAACATGTAGGTGTCATGTGTGAAAATGGCCATGGATGTGACAGTTGAAGCAAAGCTTCTGTGATAGATTTTTGTTTATGTTTACACTGTAGTTCACAAACGTTTTTATTTTTGATGTTATCTTTTAGGTTTTGTAAGTAAATACACAGCTGATGTGAAAATGTTGATGTTTATTCTAAACACATGATATACATATATATTTTTAATTGAGAAACAAGTATCAATGAGAGTTTTAAAACTGATTAACAGGACAGTTTCAATAATTAATACACTGTACATTGTTATCTTCTTAATGGTTATCCATAGTACAAGATGCAGACAGAATATCCTGTCCAAACATTATTAATACAAATCATTCTTCTCATTGAATTAAGCAAAAGTAGCTGTATATCTATCCTAACTATTCTGCATATACAGATACAAAATGGTCCTTCCTTTGTATTCCCTTTTTTTGTTTAGTCCTGTCAGAAATGGGTATTCCTTTGGCATCTAAATACTATAGGTGTGTGAATTCAGCAAAACAATCCAACAGAGTCCAGCAGTCCACAATAGTAGTGGGTTATCCACACAAGTTGTTGACTTGAGCCTTTCACAGCTCAGCATATTAATAAGGCTTTACTTTATATACCTCGTTTTTATACTTTTCTGCTGGATGGTTAAGACTAAGATAAAGCAAGACCTGTATAACAAGAAATGTAACTTTTGTATCTGATAAGGTCAGTCAAGTACCCTCAAGATTTATCCTGTAACTCTGTACTGCAGTTTGCAGATCCTTTCTCAGTGTCACATTATATATATTAAGAATTTAAGAGTTTATTTTATTGATATTTTATGTTCCTGTCAAATATACATAGTATAATATAGTAAGAACCTCACAACAAAACAGCAAGACCAGTGGGAAGTCAAGTATGTCCTTCAAAAAGGAAAACAAAACACATGTGCTGTCAGTGTAAGGAATACATATGCATGGAATGTGCTCTGGTAATGTGTGCAGACTGCCTTGGGTGTGATAATTGAAATAAATTCTAATGGTAAAGTACTATGGGTATTTTTGTTGTAGTTCATATAAGAATTTATCTGTTGAAAAAATTTGTTTTTCTTTTGTAGACTTAGTACACCGAAATACGCTGAAAATTTGATGCTTTTTTTAATAAATTCAGTAAATATTAATTCAATATTTTATTTTTGTGATTTTTTTCCTGTTAAGTACTTGTTGCTTGATATAATGGAACCAATAAAATTAATAAGTTATCAACAAATATTCTAAATGATAATAAATGTGGGTCTGACAGACTCATGTTTATGCACCTTGAGACATAGCCTGATGTCCCAAGGATTAAAATGTAATTTTTTAGTCACCTTAAAGCCATCACCACAATACATACAACTCAATTTTCAGCACTAACCTATCACGTGGTTTTCCATAGACAATTCTATTTAGCACAAAATAATGTATGGCTATACTTGAAGGCACTCTACCATAACAACTCCACCATTAATAATGTAATTTTTTTTAAAAAAAACAGAAATACTTCATCAGAGACTACTTTCCAAGAACTATAGCTCAGTGGGTACAGCCTTCTCCCACCATATACATGAAGCCCTAAATTGGATCACCAGTACAAAAAAAAAGAAAAAAGATTGTTTTTGGCAAAATAACTGCTATAAATGTTATCCATGTAATATAAGGTGCCATCTGTGCCCTTACCTAAAGATTTGCAGACTGAAATGGTTGCCTCTTCCAAGAGTTTCAACTCAGTGCTGGAGAGAGAGAAAAAAAAAAAAAGTAATTTATAATGATACTAAATATGAACATACTAACCAGACAAAGCAGTAAGAGAAAAATAAATTAGAAATATGGTACACAAGGCAAAGCAGCATTATGGAAGAGAACTACAATTTTCAATGCAGTAAGCAAATTTACTGTAGTTCTCAATATAAGGTTGCTAAAAGACAATGGCTTCGGGTGCCTGTCTTTCATATACTAAGATGGGGAGAAAGACAAATTTGAGGAAGGCACTCCAAAGTAGAGAACATATAGCAGGAGTCCCACATGCCCAATTCTAAAGGAGTACTAATAATGGAATTCCAATTATTTATTAGAAAGTCATTATTTTTAGATGACACAGAAACTATCATGATGTGTACAATATATCCAAATACTTCAACAAAAAGAAAAGAAAGAAAAATACAGACGTTTCAATGGTTCATAAATATGGGAATGAAAGGCATGGACAAATATGGAGACAGACATACAGTGACAGAGAAGGAGACAATGGCAGACAGAGATCTAGACAGACAAAACTCTGAGAAAACTTCATGACATTTGAATTTGGCAGTGACTTCTTGGCTATGGCACCAAAAGAACAGTGATCAAAATAAAAATAAATAACCTGGACTTTATCAAAACTTTAAAATTCTGTGCATTAAATCAACAGTAAAAATCCAACCCAAACAACAGATTAAAATGTTTGCAAATCATATTCTATATTAAGGGGCTGATAGCCAGAATAATTTTTTTTAATCTTACAGTTAACTACAACAAAAGAAACTACCTAATTAACAAAGAAAGCTGGGCATGGTACTACATCCATAGCATTGCATTCAGGAGGCTTTAAGGTGGGAGGATCACCTGAGCTCATCAGTTTAATACCAGTTTGGGCAACACAGTGAGGCCCTGTCTCAAAAAAAAAAAAGCAAAGGATTTGAATGATCAATTTTCCAAAGAGGATGTGCAAATGGCCAATAAGCACATGGAAAGATGCAAGCTATAATTTCTCATTAGGGAAATTCAATAAACCCAATGACACCAACTGGAAGCCTTATTTATTCCACACCTATAGGATGGTGTTATGATTTAAATATAAAAACTTCTAAAGACTCATGTTGTGAGGCTGTGAGCCCAAATGTTCAGAGGGGGGACCTACAGATCTCACTGGATAATGAAGGCACAACCACTGATAAGCTCATCAGCTGAATGGCTGCTGGGGCCTACCTAGGAACTGGGTCCCTGGGGGCAAGCCTTCTGAAGGCTTTTTCTCCTCTGAGGCTCTCTTTCTGCTCTCTGCTCCCTGATTTTCCTAAGGTGAGCAGCTTTCCTCCACAACGTCTCTTCTGCTGTAGAGCCAACTGAAAGATATATGTCAGGTATTTTGTCCCAGCAAGCGGGGTGACTAATACAGATGGCTATCATCAAAAAAAGAAAAGAAAACCCACAGAAAGCAGTAAGTGTTATCAAAGACGTGGGGAAATTGAAGCCCTTGTATATCACTAATAAGCAATGTAAAAGAAAGCAGTCACTGTAGAAAATAACATGTGGTTCAAAAAATTAAACATTTCCACATGATCTAAAAATTCCTCTTCTGCGTAAGTACTCCAAAGAAGTAAAAGCAGCACCCTGAAGAGATATTTGTACACCCATCTTCATAGCTGCAATACTCACCACAGCCAAAAGGTAGAAGGAATTCAAGTTCCAACAAGAAATGAACAGACAAAATGAGGTACAAACAGAATGAAATATTATTTGGTCTTTAAAAAAAGAAAACTCCGTCACATGCTACAACATAGATGAAACTTAAGAACAGTAGCTTGGGTGGGGAAGACAGTTCAGTGGTCTAAGAGCCTGCCTGGCAAGAGCAAGGACTCAGGTTCAATTCCTGGTACCACATGCTGTGCACATCCAAGCTGCGTAGCGAGACCCTGAACCAAATAAATAAAT